TTAGAAGGAAGATAGGATGGCTATATTTCCACACTCAAATTAACATGCATCTGAGTAGAAAGCGTGTTTCCCTGTATGCCGTGTCAGCAGAGTCTCAATTCTCAACCCGTCTAAGGATACATTTCTCCCGAAAGTGAGATGTCAATTGTCTGGCTTTATATACACAGCCAATAAGTTCATTGCTCAGCCCTATAGTTACCTGGTAACCCTGGTCATTTACCTCAGCTCAGCATTTCAGCTCTTTAAACTGTAAAATGGTAGGCCAGTCCCACTCAAGGGCCTTTCAGTTTCCAATAGTCCCTGCTCTAAATCGCTTTCTCTGAAGCCGGGGAGCAAGCTGCTTTCTCAGGCGGGGCCTCGGATCAACCTAACAATTGTTAATAAAGTAAAGCATGACCTCTTAAGCCATCAAACCGGTCCATCAGTAACCAGCTATGAATAATATTCTTGTGATTCTCGGAAACTAGATTCAGATAAAGTTACATTCCCGAGGGTGACTTTGCATAAGGGCCTGGCCATGCAAAGTTGGATGAGTTTGGTGGATGGCTTGCTTGCTGACCCAGATGAGAATTTCTGGCACCAAACAGGAAGCTGGCGGAAAAAAAATTTCACTCTTGGTTATGGGCCCAATGATTGGTTATGGTGAGATTTGGAAGGTTTTATCTTGAAAGGGGCCTAGGAAGTAATAGTTGAGCAGTTTGAACTGTATGGGTCACTTTTGTTTAGGGAGAACCATGTCACAGAGGAATTGAAGTTTGTAGTCAAAGGAAAGCTGACCTGGACTCCTCAGATCTGTCATGGACTAGGTAGCTGACCTTTGCTTGATTACGTTTTTAACTTTTATCTAAAATGGGGATCATAGTCACAGTGCACTTTCCTTATAGGACTGGGAGGCTTTCTGAGGGTGTGCTCAGAAAGTTGAGTTTTATTGTTATTTTTCAGCCAGGTTACTCATTATCTAGCACATAGAGGTGTGCTGTAGAAAGAATGCCAGTGTCTGCACACGCCCGCAGAACTTCCCGGACTCTGGGCTTTCCCTGTTTATGTGGAGGGACAGCCCTGGAGAGTTAGGACTTTTCCATGGCTCCCACCAGCATGTGTTGGAGAAACTTGCCTCCCTCTCAAAGCAGCACAGCCCTGTGAAGGAAGTCTGGTCTCAGAGATGATCATGCAACTGTGTAGACTGGGTATCTAGTTCTTATCTTAGCTCAGAAGAAAAAAACTTAGCTGTCTGTCTTACCAGCTAGTGCTCAGGATCCACTCACAATGTAAATGGAGCTACTTGTCAGTGCTTTTTCTCAAGCTGTGTATATTAGCTGAAATAAGGGACAAAATTAATTCATTTTAGGTATAGAACTCAACATTCTTCCTCTGAGTTACACCCCCCGCCCCGGCAATTCTCCAAGTTTAGGCAATGCCTTTGGTTGTGTAACTAGCAGCACATTCGAGCTAGAATGTTTTCATCAACCCAAAACGTTCTCACCCCTAACTTCTCCTAGCAATATAGTATGCCATGTCTTTTTCACTGTGGAAAGGTTTAAAAAGCCCACTTACTGCAACCCTTGACATTTGTGGAAAGCATGAGTTGTCATGTCCCATATTTGGGAGTTGTTGAACTCCTCTCAGACTCTGGCTTTAAACATTGAGCCTGGCTCCCTTCACTCGTTCAGGAAATGTCTGTTGAGCTCTTTGCTGGTGCCAGCCATGAGCCTGGACCGTGATGGAGTATAGAGAGTGTTAATGGCAGTTCCCAGCTTCCCAGATACGGTGCACACAAGTAAAGGGTTAGCTGGCAACCGAGGCAGAGAATCAGGATGTGCTGCAAGGTCTTATAGCTTGGGCTGAGCTCCAACTACAGGGTATGAAAGGTGCTTAGGGGAAGGTCAAGGGAATCTGTGCATGGGGCTCAGGGAGGGTTCTAGAAAATAAAATAGGGCCACCTGAGCAGTACCCATAGCTCAGTTTCCATCTCCTCTAGTCCTGCCTTATTGAAGCCTTTGGTTTTCCAGCTGGGGGAAAAACAAAACCATGAGAACAACAACAAAGTTTACATCCTTGACTTTGATCTCCCTTTGGATTTCATTCCTTGCTTTTTCCCTTTCAGCCTTTCTTTGCCTTCCACTCTTCCATAGATGGCTATATGCTGGCCTGGTGCCCTCTAGACTTCTTACGAATCTATTCCTTATCCCCATTGCATCCTCTCTGCCCCTCCAGAACCAGATAACACTGTCTGTGCCAGGCAGATGCTCCACCAGTCTGGGTTGGTTGAATAACTAAGCTGGGCATTGTGAGAAAAAGAACAGAGAGAAAGAACTCCTGGGTAGAACAAAGGGACAGATGCAAAAGATACCTGAGCTGCGCCATTGTTTACAGTCCTAGCCAGCTTCCTGTACCTGTTAGGAATGACAGCACAAAGGAGAAAGGAGCTTAGAAGCATTGAAATCAAAGAGGCTTTGATTGAAGTAAAGTTATGGTAGGACTCTATTTCCATTGCTCCTTCTGCTTCCTGTACACACGCACAGAGACATACACACAGACACACCACACATACACACATACTACACACAGAGATACACACACATACATGCACAGACACACGCAGACATACACACAGACATGCACACAGACACAGCACACACAGACACACACACACACACACACACACACACACACACATACACGGACGCCCATACATGCTCACTTGTGTGCATATGTGTCCATGACTGGTCAGGAACTAATTGTATTGACCAGCTGGCCTAGAACTCAGATATCTTCCTGTGTCTGCCTCTCAAGCACTGGGATTAAAGCTATGACCACCATGCCCAGAGATATAAATGCTTAAAAGAGATGACTTGATAGTTAAAACCTTATCTTGCTCTTGCGGAGATAAGTTCCCAGGACTCTGTATTGTACAACTCACAACTGCCTCGAGCTCCAATGAAATCCAAAGCCTCTGAGGGCACTTGCACTCACATGCTGGCGTGACACACACACACACACACACACACACACACACACACACCAATAAAATAAATCTTGAAAAGTGTGTTCAAACTTACAACGTTTCAACCAAAGAGAAGCTTCAAGTGGCTGACACCAGAGCTGTTGACAGTGGATAACTTTCAGAGAGACTGGCACGTGGCCTCTTCTGGCAAAACCTGAGCATTTTGCCTTTGCAAAAGGATGGGAAGGAAGAGGAACAGAGGACGGTGCAGAACCACACTGTGAGCTTGTGGATAAGGGACTCTGCCTCTCCCGGCCCCGGTTTCTTTGTTTGTATCAGGGTCCTAGTGCTTCATTCTGATGACTTAAATGTTACACTAACCTCCATACGCATAAGTACAATGTAGACCATGGTAGTCTTGTGCTTTGAGGACCTCAGGGAAATGTGTTAGCACAGCGCTTTCTTCCCTTTTATTGATTGGAGCCAATATTCAGAGACATTTAGCGCAGTGAGCTGCTGACAGTAGTATACAATCAGTTCCATTCGAAGTTAAAATGTAGCATCTGAGACACTGAAATTAAAAACATAGTGGACTATCACTATTTACCCAGAAGAATGGTTAAAATAAAAAAATGGCAACAACACCAAATGCTGGCAAGGATGTGGAGAAATTAGATCACTGTAACACTGCTGATGAGAATGTAAAATATGCACTTGCCCCGAGAAACAGTTTGGCTGGTTCTAGGGAGCTCAACGTGGAATTTCCACATGAGCCAGCAATTACACTCTTGGATGTTTATCCCAGAGAAATGGAATCATGTTTGTGGAAAACTTGAACAAAAATGTTCACAGCAACCTTGTCTGCACTAGGCAAAGACTGATACCAACCCAGGCATCCTTCAATGGGTGGATAGTTAAACAGATGGGATATGTTCTCCAACAGTTTGCAAAAGTTAAACAGCAGAATATGTACGCCAGCAATAGGGAGCCAGCTAGGGGTTCACATGACTTGGTGACTTGTGGGGAATTATGCTAAGGGAAAAGAAGCCAACCTCAATGGATTGCAGTATGAATCTAGAGGAGAAGACTTTTTCTCCCTCCCTCAGTAGTCATCAATTACCTAGAGATGGGGCCACATGAGGTGTCCCTCATGCCAGCTGGTGTTGTCATGTTCAGTCTTTGGTTAGACAACTACATGGTTGAGATTTCCTAGGTACAGCTTCTCTGTCTTCTATAGAACAAACTATGTCACAGTAGACTACCTGGTCCTCTGGCTCTCAGTGTCTTTCTGCCCACTTTTCTCTGATGTTCCCTGAGCTAAGTGAAGGGATTGTCTTGTAGATCTATCAGTCGAGTCTGGGTACCCCACAGTCGCTTTTCCTCTTCACCAAAATAAAGACTTCAATTTACAATATATGGAAGCAGTTTCAGAGTCTTTAGATATGCCTTACCAGTGTGGGGGCCATTAATGCACTTAACATTTGTTAGACTACTTCATTGTTCTGCTATTTTGGACAGTCAGTCACACTCGATCCCAAAAGGTATGAGAAGAACTTCCCCTTTCCATTCTGCCAGAAATGGCAGAGTGGATGGGGTTTTGTGTCTTTTCCTTCTTGTGAAGGTTTGATAATGTCTGTCTAGACCCCAGAATCCTGAAAAATAAGCACAGCACCCTCTTGCAGACCAAGAACAGAGAACAGAACTAGGCTGAATTTAGAGAATTAGGATATCTGCCCTGAGATTTGGTCAAGATGAAGCCTGAGGTCTTGACTGTGATCAGGTTGAGTGTGATACTCAGAACACTGTCACCAGAGTGTGCCATTATGCAGGCACATGGGGGACACATCTGGGTCAACTCATTGCAGGCTACTTCTCTGATAACGTTAACTCAGACTCAAGTTTGGTTTTCAGCTTCCTGGCAGGCGACATGGGGAGGCCTGGAATCTGAACCCTAGTTGGCATCTTGCTTGAGCTGAGGAAGGTTTTGTTTGTGAGTGTGTGCTATAATCTTATAATCTCGAGACTTTGAGGCATGATAGTCTCCTGTTCTTTGAAGTTGTAGGACAGTCCCATCTGGACAGCAACATTGAAGATCAAGAAATTGTCACTAATCCACCAGACATCTGCCAAGTTGTGGAAGTGACCACAGAGAGTGATGACCAGCCAGTCAGCATGAGCGAGCTCTACCCTCTACAGATTTCTCCTGTGTCTTCCTACGCAGGTAAGGGGAACAGGAGGGTGACTTTGAGACTGAATAGGAAACAGATCACCCAGTCAAGCACCACCTGACAGGAAATCTCTGTTCTGTACTAGAAATTATTATTGAGGAATTGTTCTTACTCTTATGTTCTTGACAACATCTTGAACACCTCTGTTAGAAGATATATTCATGGTATTCCTTTACTTGACTGCTCATGATATGGTTCATTTAGGTCTACAAATGACATTTCCTGGGATAAATGCTTCATGGTCATGATAAATATGCAAGAAATGATATAGTTACTGAGAACTGGCAAAGACTGAAAAGTCCTGGCACATGTGAGTTCAAATTCACTCGTAATGTAGTTGCCTAAATTAACAGAATTGGAGTCAGAATGGTTTGATGGATCTAGATTTTATTAAGGTAGATAAGACTTCAGAAATCACCTTTTCTAGATTCTTTGTGGAAGTGAAATACTTTTCTCAAGGTCACTTGACCAATATTTATCAGCCTTCAGCTTCGAGGTCATTGCTAGATCTAATTCACCTAGCTATACTTGCCATTTCCATGTATTTGCTCCCTCCCTCCGTCCCTGCCTCTTCCTCCTCCCTCCCTCCCTCACTCCCTTCTTCCCTCACTCCCTCCTTCTCTTATTATATAGTGCTGCTTCTAACTGAGCTGGGACACTGATCCCATTTCTGCTTCTCCTGGGGACTGGTACTGTCATTGTAGAAATTAGTGCAGGCAGAGTTACAGGATTAGACAAACTAAGAAAATGACAGCTCCTTTTGTCACTAGAATTACATCATCTTACACTCCCTTCCTGACCATCTCCATTTAAGCTTTTGGGACTCAATCACAATTAGGAAATATAAATTCTGAGTTAGTGTTATTGCTTGCAGCTATTAAAAGCAGAGACCCAGGCATGAGAAAGGTCTGTCAGCTCTAGCAAATGAATCACTTTCTCCCCAGACATTTATATATGCGTTGGAGGCCACACAGGGGTAGCACAGTTGTTTGTAAATTATCGGCAGATAAACTCACCTCATATGAATCAACATGCCAGCTTTCTTTTTTAATTTATTTTTTAGCTGTAATAAAATACATACAACATGAATTTGCCATTTGGTAAGTGTCCAGTTGAATGACTTTGAGTATGTTCACAGTATTGTACAACCTTCACTGTCACCTATCTCCAGAAGTGTTTCATCTTCTAAAACTAAAATGATGCACCCATTCAACATGAGCTCCTCTACCCGAATCTTGAGAGCCACACCTATTTTCTGTCTAATCAGTGGGCTCTTGTGGGTGGAATTCTTGCAGTTTTTATCCTTTTGCGACTGGCTTATTTTACCTGGAATACATCACAGCTTGTTTTTGTGTTAGGAGCATAAGAAGAATGGGAGAACGAACCTCAGTGACAGGAATCCTATAACCTGTCAAACAACTTGCCATCAGACACTCTTTCATCAGAGACAGTTTGGACTCTTGATGTTACGTGTCCATCTCATTTTGGTCTTTGCCAGGGCCCGGTAGCTATATTATTTGTTGTATGTTTATTGTTCTTTGGGGATTATACTAACTGCTTATAGAAATTTGTATAGATTGACCTGCTTGATTATCAAGGAAATAAATGTCATTCTCTTTTCTTCAAAAAACGAGGACTCTAATGCTAATGTGAGTCTAGGAATGAAAAACTAGCAACAGATAAATCCATGTTCTTAGACATTCATCAGAGTGCTACACGGGGTCACATTCGATAGTCTTGTTTGATTGTCAAGGGACCCACCAGAGGAGGGAGACCAAAATCTTCATGCAGAACTAATGGAAACGTTAAGCACTGAGGTATTTCCCCTCTGTTTGTGGAGCTAAGGCTAAAGTCATGGCTTTCTTCTAAGTCACCCAGCTGCTGTAGCTGTTAAACACTACTTTACGGGGTGGAGCCGTAAAGTAGACCCATTTACCTGTTCGAGCTTTTCTTGGGGATTCTGGAAAGACCTTCTTGCTCTTTTTTGTTTGCTTGTTTGTTTGTTTACTTAGTTATTTTTGCAGTGCTGAAGAGCCAATCCAAGGCTTCAGGCATGATAGAAACAAGCCCTCCACCGCTGGCCTGTATCCCCCATCCCTTCACTGTATTTTGATGTGGCTGTGCATCACATCTTCCTAGGGTTTAACTAGATTGTTGGTGGTTTAGTAAAAGAAGACCATGATGGTAATTCAGAAGAAAGGAGGTGGAAAAACAGGTTGTGTGGGAATCAAAATAAGAATCGGTTATATGATCAAGAGAATCAAGAGAATAGAGGTTGTGTGGGCAGCCAGCCATCATTCTCCCAGAAACCATATGTATGTTATGAATAAGGCAAAGTTCGTTGACATGGAGACTAAGATTCGGAGTTGAGCTGCTGAGTGATCAGCTGCATCTTCTAGTGAAGTAATTGAGGAAATTATATGGAAAGAAATCAATGCTAATCATATTTCATTGAATGAGAGCCTTCCAGAAAATATATTAGATATCACATAATACAATAATGTGTTCTATAAAATATATCATCTCCTTCCCTATGATGTTCTGGAGGTGGTTTGGCAATATGTATCCTCCAGGCAGATGTTAAAAACTGGACTGGAGTGACATGATTCTAGAACTGCCTCTCTGGAAAAGCCTTTGATGTCAACTGATCTGAGTCCAAATTACTTTCTTCCCTGTTAGCGGCTTGTAGGAAAACAGGCCAGAAAGGTTAAATCAATTATTCTGTATCTACTACCACTGTGTAAATATTTCAGTTTTTCTGACTACCCTTGAAAAGCAACTTTAATCACTTTTTTTTTATCCCATTGTATTGGAAGTCAGTTTGAAAAGTATCCAAACTAATAAAAGAGGGAAGTGACATAATCCACACTGTCATTTTGGCAGTCACATTGATCTGGAAGCCACAGCTACAGTGAACTCATTTGTCATGTAAGAAGTCATTCTGGAAGTAGAGTAAAACTAAGAGAACAGGAATGAAGACTTAGAGCCAACTATTGAGTAATAGTTATAAGAACCTCCATTCATCCAAAAGCAAACTTTGGGATCCTTAGATGGGAGCTCTGGGTACCACATTTCCTAGACTAAAGGCTCTCAAGGCTCTAAAAGAATCCAAATTATTAACCAGCGTGTTAGTACATTCCACATTGCTCTAAACACGTGAGGTAATCACCTTTAAAAGAGCAAAAGACACCGTGGCTCGCAGTTTCAGAGATTTCAGTGCATAGCTACCTGGATCCATTGCTTTGGGCCAAGTGATGGAACAGAATGCTGTGGCCAGAAGCTCTCGGTGGAGCAAAACTGCTCCGACCCTGGCTGTGAAGGGAAAGAAAGACAAGAGGAAGCTGGGGATCCCCATACCCCCCTGCACTGGTATGAGTTCAATGATCTCACCTCCTAAAGTTCCCAGCCCATCCCAACATCACTGTCATCTGGGGACCAGGTCTTCAGCACTTGAACCTTTGGAGACAATTAAGATCCAAACTCTTACATCCGATTCCTGAGGTGGAGAGACTCCCTAAGTACTCAGGGACAGTTGACCTTAAATTAGAGATGCTTCTCTCCAACTCAAGTTTGTGTCACCCGAAGAAACAAGGACAGAATATGCGTGCCATTACTTAGCCACAGCTTTATTCCAGTTGAATGCTGGGGTACCTACAGGAAACTAACATTCCTACCCCCTACCAGGTCTGTTCAAAGTCTTACCAAGGAGTTTATCCCAGCATCTAACTTCCAAATCCTCCACCAACTGTGTCTTGAGCCTGTGGGATCCTAGGGCCTTGGTGTCAACAGCTCCTTTCTCTGAATCTTCTGCCTTCCAAGGCATGCCTGATGTCTTTGTGTGCTTGCTTTTATTTGGAGGGAAAAAGCATGGGAAGATTTATGGAGAGTCATTAGGAGGAGTGGGGGCGGGGGGGGGCTTGGCTTGATGCATGTGGAAGGAAGAGAAACTTTGGCTTCAGAGCACAAACAAAACTAAGCATGAAAATAGAAAGGGGATCTTGAAGTTTTGCCAGCAGGAAGGCAGGCTCTGCGTTGTGTTTACGACTCTGGGATCTGAAGTACAGTTTTGTTTTCTTTGCTCTCCTGACTCAGTCCGAGACTTGGCAAGTTTCTCAACATCTCCATTCCTCGCTTTTCTTCTTGGGAGGAGCAGTCCGGCCTCCTCTGGAGGCTAGGCTCATGTGGCTTTGTGTTTGGAGGGACGTTTCCTTCTCTGGTCTTCGTTTACTTGTGCCTGAAAACATTTCTTGCGCCTGTTGGCAGATTATCTCCGTAACTCAAATCATTGTTAGCTAAGACCTAGGCTTCCTCATGGCATCTGTGGCCCCTACATGGGAATGTGTGGGGCGGATCATTCTGAGTTGGAGGAACAAATGATTTGATTTTTGGTCAGTCCCTGGCAACCTCCCAGGCTTGTCTGAAGTCCCCGGAGAACAGTGGTTGAGAATCATACAAAAAGCATTCCTAGGTGAGACTTGTCGCTCTCACATGCTTGCTGACTAAGGAATGCACTGGAGGTACAGTCTGTCCATTTGTCCTTTCACTTGATAAATGTGGGGAGACCGATCTCTGGCCAGGGCACTGAATGGTGGAAAGGGCTCTGGCTGGCCTGGAGTCATTGGAGCTTAATTCTGCTATCAGGCATGCAACTCAGTAGTGGCAGGGTGGAAGAGGGTAGGAAGCTCTAGACAACTTATTTCCAGGTGACAGCAGCTGTTTTCTGACATAGGATTGTTGTAAGGGATGAACAGGACTGGTACACGAGGGCCCTAGCTGAGCCTTGCCATGGTTTTCTAAATGTCCAGCTCTTGTCATTAAAATGACAAAATGACCTACAAGAGTCTGTGTATCTTAGATGTTCTATCCTCTATTCATTAATTTTTGCAGTGGCGATGGACAGTGAAAAAGCTGCCATTTTGTCATTTTTTAATTTGTAAAACTTAACATATAGATAATGGTTAATCACCAGTTAGTGAATTTGACCCTGCTGTGTCCAGCCCAGTGTGCAAACTTGGTGTTGACTCCCAAGGGCATTGCAGGCGCTGTGTGTCAGCTCTGTGCTTTCCAGACACCCAATACTCTCTCAGTTACTCGCTATGTAACCCTCTTTGAAAAGGGGCAGGTAACTGCAGCTCACTGTGGTTAAGACTTGTTCTCTGTGTCTCACAGCTGGTGGGTCCAATCAGGTTTACAATGGATTATCTATTGCCCTGTAGCAGTATGACCATAAGCATGATGGCTTAACACAATACACAGTTAAACTGTCTCACAGTCTCTGTGGGGTGGGCTCTCTGCAGCAGAGCCTTGCTAACCTGTCATCCGGTGTTGGCAAGAGCTGCTGCAGCTTGTCCGACAGTCAACTGTTGAGCCATTGACTCACACAGCATTGGGCAGAACTGAATTCCTTGCAAGTGTTGTTTCTTGCTACCTTTTACCTGGAAGCAACGCTTAGCTTAAATTTGCCATATGGGCCTCCATAACACAGCCAGCAAACAAAAGACAGGTTAAATCTTACAAGATGACATGATCATGGTCATACAGTATTTATATCTTTGCCGTGTTGTGTTGGCTAAAGCAAGTCACAGTTCCTACCCACAGTCAAGAGGACGGACCCAAAGATGGCAAACTTGGAATGAGGGTCTTGGGGTATCTAGAACATGGCCACCTGCTAAGACTCCAGTAGAAACTGGATCTCTATAAACCCAAAGGGAGGATACTAATAATAGGAGGGGGCAAGGAGAGATTCTGAATCGTTTCACTGTGCCAGGACTTTCTGTGACTACTGGGTTAGACTAGAAGAAGACAGTGTGCGGCATTGTAGACAGAGCTTCAGGGAGGAGAAGATGTATCAGGAGAAGATGTGGCAGTGTGGCTTCGAAAGTGAGCTTCTCCACTCAGCTCCAAAGCCCACTCCTCTTAGGGGACCAAGCAAAGAACTGAAATTCACTCTGGCTTGTCTCACTTGGAAGTGTTTGACCTCACAAAGTGGAGGGAGAGGGTGTGTGCAGTTTCTTATTCCTGAAGTGCTGGCAGAGGTTTTTAAGATACTTCCTGAGTCTCTGAAATAGCTTGAGCAACAAGAATATTTCTGTTTTTCTTTCTGTACAGAAAGTGAAACTACCGACAGTGTGCCTAGCGATGAGGAGAGCGCCGAGGTGAGCTGTTTCCTATTGCCTCTTGTTTTAAAGCACAGGTTTACCTTTGGATCTGTGTGTGAGTGAGTGTGTGTGGTATGTGTATGAGTGTGTTTGTGTGTGGTGTGTGAGTGTGTATGTGTGTGTGTGATTGTGTGTGTGTGTGTAACTGAATAAGGAGAGACAGACACAAGACACAGAATGCACATAGCCTAAAATTTACCTTAACTTTTCATTCGGAATTGTAGAATGTAGTGCTGAGCACTGGGAGGGAGGAAGGGGAGTTAAATGTGCCCATCAGAGAGAGAGGTGAATAGAGCATGGCAGGAAGAGAAGATTGAAGTCAAGGCCAGGAAATGTTGATGCTCATATGGCTGTAAACATCCTGGTTTGCCAACTGGAGTAGAACGGCCTGCCCAGCCCAAAGAGTGGACAGAAGTAAGCATCAGGAACAGCTAGCAAAATTATCTTCGCACAGATCCGTGCCTTCCCTGAGTGGTCCTGCAGAGGTGGGTGTGTGTCCAGCCTGCTTACAGCTTCCCTGTAGGGAGGCTCACACAATGGCAGGAAATGGGCTGAAATGCTGATAGGGAGAAAAGGGAGCTTGGAGAAGAAGCTGATGTTTGGTTGAATTCCTAATATTCCGAGGTCAGGAATTCTGAGAAGACAGTAAGCATCCATGCTCCCATATGGGATGATCTGGCTTCTCCAAGGACTTTAACCCCTTTTCTGCCTGGCAACTGTGAGGCCAGTTGTGGTTCAGAAAATGTGACTCTCAGGCCCCATCCACTTAAAAAGCAATCAAAGCGCATTTGCTGACTGTTTCTAAGCTCCTTGTTCTCCTCTGAAAACTCAGGGTAAGTGATTAAGTTGGGCCAACCATTGTGACTGGAAACTATCTGGTATACAACCCAGGCAGCCTGGGCACAGGAACCAGAAGTCAAGTTGCCCCCTTATTTTGTGTCTCTGCAGAATAGTCTTGGCCAGGTTTCTGGGAGATAGCAAGTGGGAATTGATTTGAAAAGTAAGAGAAGCCATTGCTTTGCAGATGGCATTCAGTGGGGAGGAAAAGAACGTATGTGTGTTGATTATTTTCTCTCAAAGGGGAGACCACACTGGCGGAAGAGGAACATTGAAGGCAAGCAGTACCTGAGCAACATGGGGACACGGAGCACCTACCTGCTACCCAGCATGGCGACCTTTGTCACTTCCAGCAAACCAGATCTGCAGGTCACCATCAAAGAGGAGAGCTGTCCAATGCCTTACAACAGCTCCTGGCCGCCATTTACAGACCTCTCCCTCCCTGCTCCAGTGACCCCCACACCCAGCAGCAGTCGGCCCGACCGGGAGACCAGGGCCAGCGTCATCAAGAAGACATCTGATATCACCCAGGCGCGTGTCAAGAGCTGTTAAGCCTTTGACTCACTGGTGGTTGTTGGGATTTCTTAGCTTTGTGTCGTTATTTGTTTGTATTTTATTTTTCTCTCTGATCCCTATCTTAGACAAATCCGAAGGGGAAAAGCCTTGACAATAGAATATTGATTGCTGTGTCCAACTCCAGGGCGGGAGCTTCTTTTTAACTCAGGACTCCAGCCCCTTGGTAGATGTGTATCTCTAGAACCTGCTGGATCTCCCAGAGCTACTCCCTCAAGTTCATGGACCAACAGCCACACGGGCAGTGGAGGTGCTGCGTTGCCTACGGTCAAGGCCAGCATGGTGGAGTGGATGCCTCAGAATGGACGAGAAAATGTGAACTAGCTGGAATTTTTTATTCTTGTGAATATGTACATAGGGCAGTACTAGCCACGTTGCGGTCTGCTTCTGCACCTTATCTTGAAGCACTTACAGTAGCCTTCTTGTGATCTTGCTCTTCACAGCACACTCGGAGTCCCCTTCTGTGCCCATTACCTCACTGCCCACGCCTCCCCCTCCCATCCAGTCCCACCCACCCCACCTGTCCCGTTCCTTCTCCCCTCTTCTCTCCTCAAAGGCAATGATCCACATCTTGGAGGAGGAGGAGGAGGAGGAGGAGGAGGAGGAGGAGGAGGAGGAGGAGGAGGAGGAGGAGGAGGAGGAAGAGGAGGAAAGGAAGAAAATTAATTTCTCCACAGCTGTCCCACTTTAAGACTGCTTGAAAAAAAATCTTTCTAATCTGCTATGCTTGAATGCCACGCGGTACAAAGGAAAACTGTCATGGAAATATTATGCAAATTCCCAGATTTGAAGACGAAAATACTCTAATTCTAACCAGAGCAAGCTTTTTTATTTTTTATACAGGGGAATATTTTATTCAAGGTAAAATTCTAAATAAAATATAATTGTTTTTTATCTTTTCTACAGCAAATTTATAATTTTAAGATTCCTTTTCTTGTTTATCAGCAGTTGTTATTACATCCTTGTGGCACATTTTTTTTTAATTTTGTAAAGGTGAAAAAAACTTTTATGAGCTCATGTAGCAATCAAATTATCCTGTGGATTGATAATAAATGAATATGGTATATAGTTAAAATTTTTAATGGGTATCACTTCTGGCTTTATCTGTGTCTATTTGCATAATCATGGATCAGGGCTGACAAAGTGTTTATTCTCGGAGTCCAACATGCTTTCCTTTCCCGTTCACAAAAACACATAGATGGTTCCTATGGTGAGGCTGCGAATAATTTCCTCTTTTGAGTGCCCACTGCACTGGGCCCTGGGCAGAATGTCCAACACCATCTTGGTCCTTTCCATCTTTGCTCATCACAGAAAGGGTGTTCATCACTGTTCCATGAGGTAGGCGTGGAGACCTGAAATGAAGACCCTCTGCTCAGGTTACCCAGGCAACACAAGGCCAGGATGCTGGTGGAGCCCAAGTCTGGAGGGTTTCTGAAGGAAGTCTGCTTCCTCTTCCTCAGTTCTCTGTTGTGAATAGATTCCTCTCATCTCGGTGTGGTTTCTGCCCTAACTGTGGGCTTAGACATAGCTCACGTTTGTGTTGTGTTAAAAATCTGGGCACAGATAAAAACACTTTGAGTAGTGAGAAATAGTTGTTGGATTCTTCCTTTGTGTTACTCTAGCTTCTAAGGCCTGGGCTCTTTAAATGAAGGCCCTGCTTTGAAAGTGTATGACTTTGAGAACATTGGTCTCTATCACCTAGTTGGAATTTTGTTTTCTTTCCTTTTGAATTATCCTTATTGCCTTCATATACACACCTTGTTTCAAGGTACAGCCCTGACCTTGAGAAGGTCACCTCTTTTGCCTCCCATGCTTCCGTAGAATACTAAAACATAGCTGCCTTCCTGGCACCTTTGAGGGTTGTGAAAAGATCACTAAGTTAATGTTTGAAAGGTCCTTTCAATTTATGAAAGGACAAAGGGCTCTTTTTATGTCTATCTCTATGTGTGACTGCAGATACAGCCAGTGACCATAAAATTATCATCCCCGAACGCAAATCAATGGAAACACGTGACTGTTGGGTGAGTTTGAAACGCCTCACACAGGTGGCCGGTTGTTTCTTTTCAGAGCTCCTTTGTGGGGAGTGTTTATTTTGATTCCTTAGGACAAGTTGTAAGGTCCCCAGTCTATGAGCCCTCCCTCCCTTTGGTAGTTTATATTGTAAAATCTCATTAATCACCCTGTTTTGTTCTGTTTGCAAAACAACACAAACCTAGTAATAGAAGTTGGTCTAGCTCCTGTGGTGATCAGTAGGTCTGCTCTCCCTTCCGCACCCATAATGCCATGCCGCTGCCTTACTGCATTCCTGTGGCGGTAACCAGACTAGCAGCTAAATTCAGGATTCAGACATAGACAATTCAGGTGCTCAAGATAATACTCTATTGCCAATAAGACCACAAAACAGAATGATGCTTAAAATACCCCCCACGGAAGGCTGAGTTATTTCTAAGTCGCACTTGCCAGGAGTACAGGAAAACAAGTAAGTTACACAATGCCCTGGGGTAGGCGTGAGGGAACCAAACAAACCAGATGGACAGAGCTTGTTGTCACTTAAAGGAAGTGCCGGGGACACGTGATTTATTTAGTTGGCCTCTGTGTGTGCTGATATGGCTTTTATGATGGGTTTTGCTGTGGGTGTGTTTTAAGTAGCCCTGTAACTGCCTTGCAGACAATAGTTTCCATTCTCTATAGGTCACACCCGTAACAAAGTTCCTTACACCTCTGTGATCTGAGAATTCATTAACAGCAGTAAGGTAGGGCTAACTGAGCCCCTTGATGTGATCGGCTGCCACAGTGTTGTTTGGGTGCCTTCCATACGTCCATCTTCATCCCTAGCCTTCTTTCCTTATTTCGATGTCAAAGCTATGTTCCATCTACTTGAATATATCAGATATATGTGGCTAAGAAATACAAATCCTTCAGCCATCAAAGCCCTAAAATGATACCCTTTTTTGTTGTTGTTGTTGCCCCAAATGCAAAGGGTACTATCGTGTAACCCGCTCCAGAGGTAGAAATTTTAGGAACGGGGAAGATGAGTGATTTGGTTTCAGGATTCTTAGTTTTCAAGTTGATGCTTTTAAAAGTGTTTTCCATGTGAATGAAAAAAAATGTGTTAAGCCCCAATGGCCTCTTGCCCCTACATCTGAGAGATGAAACATTAGACCCTCCGTTTGCTAGAGGCTGTCCTTTGAGTGTTGAATTCATCAGGCTTTAAAAGCCCCATGTCACTTTAGCTTTGGACAAACAGACTCAGATAAAAGGAGGAAATCAAAACCCAAGTCTTCCGCCAAATCTTTCCTGATGACAGACAAAGAAACCTAGGAAAAGGCTGGCAAACAGATAGCTGGGTTTCACACTTGCAGGGGTAGAATATCCAATACCTTTACTAGTTTGGGGTTTGGAAATAGTATGGAGGCAGAAACTGGTTTTAACTAGTTGTATGAAGCCATTTCATCTGAAACTCCATCTCTTGATATAACCTAAGGCTGGGATGACTGAATAGAGCCACAGGGCTAGGAATCTAACCTGCCAGGGAGCCTGAGCACATCCCCCACTGTGTTCCGGCCGTGGTGGACCCCTCCCAAGGGGTATCCCCACTGGTTTTCTATCTCTCCCAGGACTGAAAGCCTCTTAAAGGAGCATCTCCTCCACGCTCCCATTCTCATAAGTGGCACAAGGCAGGTATCTATAGATAATCACACCAGCATCTCCTGCACCAAATACCATCATGGCTAGTGTTATGAGGACAGTGTTAGTCCCCAGCTATGTCCTTCATCAATGACTTGGACTCCAGATGTAGACCTGGAGAAGGGGGTCTTGCCATGGGTGTGTAGAGCTTTGGGTAAGGAGATGCCAAAAAGTACATGCTGTGCTTGGGGAGATTGTTCCTGAAGCTGGCTAACTTCTGCACCCCTACCTGCCCTAGCAGACACAGAAATGATTCTCTGCAGAACCCTGGGCGTTGCTGGCCCTGCTGTGATCATAAATGAGGGCTCTAAAGAGATTTGCCTCTGTGGCCATTCTAACAACAGGTGCTGAGGCACTGTCTGAAAATAGAGCCTCGGAGGAAGGAAGTGGCCAGGCCTGATAGCTGGTTTTAGCAAAAATGTTGTCTGTCCAAGAACTTTGGTCATGCTGCGAAGGGATTGGGAGAAGGGACGTTTCAGAGTTTACATAGTCTAGGGGTACAGCTCAGTGAGAGTGCTTGTCTGACATCTGCAGGGCCTTATGCAATCCCCAGAACCCTGAGAATAAATAAGAAGCAAATAAAAAAATTAGTTAAGAGTCTCTGCAGTCCGGCAAGACCACATTCTAGAATCCCTTGGCATGATTTCAAAAGAAAGCAGAACATGTGTCCTGAGCCTATAGATTTGGTCACGTTCTCCATATCTACTCTGCCACCATGTTCAGACGGATTGTTGGCTTTGTGGGAAATACTGTGCTGTTGACTTAATACCTTATACTCACCGCTTAAGAGTCACTGCTGTCAAACTCACCCAGTGGGTTTGAGTGACACCACCTTTTGTGCAGGTCTGGAAAAAAAATGTCTAGGCCACTAATATCTCTAAACTCAAGTTTTTGCTGAGAAGGATATATTAAAATTGGAACCCCTAACATGCACCCACACAAACTGTTGAAGGGAAAAGACTCCAGAAAGCTTCCTTCTGCTTAAAGCTTGGGTCTTGTCTCTGGGATTGCTCCTATTGCCCTCAAACTCCCCAACATACCATTTCAAAGAAACTTTAAGTCCACATATTGTACTGGGGATGTGCATGAGGTCCCAGGACGATGTAAACCACTAGTTAGGAGTGGTTCCTATGGTTAGTGATGAGCCAGGGTTTATCCACTCTGAGCATGAACACTGACAAATATTCTTTGTGGAGCTCACTACTCTGTCTGCCAGCAATTCCCCTCCAGGGCTGTAAATCCAACTCTTATCTCTATCTGCAGCATCTTTGCTCTGGGAAGCCCATACATCATGCTTTTAATGTGACTGTGAAATGCAGAAGAGGCTTCACAATCCCAGCTTCCACGACATTCCCCCAATGTGGAAATTAGAATTTTAGGGAAGTGCAAAATACAGTCAAAAGCTTTTGCTTGAATTCTAACTAGTGACTTTAGGGGGTCGCATGGCAACCCGGCCACTGGATGGTTAGCATGTTTTTAAGTTTCTATTTGCAGGATTTAAAGTGGGATAATTTTAAGTGACTTTCTTCTAGCACCTCATGGCTTGAATCTGGTAACTAATGACGGAGAGGTTCTGTAGAATAAGGAATTTTCACTGTCGAAATTGGAACTGTCTCAGGTAAGGGGTAGGTTTTAGTTGCCCTGGATAAAATGCTAAAATCAGAGGATAATGTGTTGTACTCTTTTGAGAATGTCCAAAAAATATTTAAGCTTCCCAAGAAAGTGTTATTGGAGGTATTTCGATGATGAGTCTATTACAAATCCATTCATTTAGGCACGGTGTGTTTTATGAAGAGACACAGACTTCATTCATTCAACACTATCAAGTTCCCAGTACATGCTGGTCTTACGTGTTAAAGCCACACGGAAGTGACTGGAACTTCTAATAGGGCATGCATTCCAGCAGTGAG